GATGAGCACTGGGTGTTGTATGGAAACCAATCTGACAATAAACTGCATATTTAAAAAAATGAAAAAGAAACAAACAAATATGGTATATTTGAAAGTTGCTGAGAGTAGATCTTAAGCATTTTCACCAGAAAGAAATTAAAGAGTTAACTCTGGAAGGTGATGGATATGCTGATTATATTCATCTTGGTAATCATTTCACAATGTATTCTACATATCAAATCATTACATTATATACTTTAAGTATATACAATCATATTTTTAATCTAAGGAAGAAGAGATTCACATAAGTGAATATGTCACTGTTTTGGCCAGTAGGACGTTCAGACTCAAATTTACAATACAGTTCCAATAAAAAGTATTGGACTTTGTGGCTATATTTTGGGAAGATGGTTTTTCAATCTCAGCTGAGTTCTTAATACAGCTCAGGAATTATTTTATAAGTCTCTAGTTACTTCCCCACTTACTCTTCACAAATCTACTCAAGCACCCTCTTTCTGGATGCACCCAGTCCTCTTAGTCTTGGGATTGTCTCATATTTATAAAGAAAACAGAATCTATCCTATTTGATCTCTTTCAACGTCTTTCTCCTTTTGAAACAAATCCCTACACTTGTGCTATGCATAATACATTTATTCTTGTTCTTCCTTGCTTTTTAGAGAAATGTGAATTTGGGTGCAATATTCAAGTTTTATAGTGATTGGTTCTCACCCAGTACTAAATATTTTTTAATTTCCAAAGTGATTTTTTTCTTTTCTCTGTGCTTTTAAGTTACCAAAGTTTATCTTACTGCCTTTAAATTGTTAATTTAAAACCGATTGCACTGTAGATAGAGAATGTAGCCTTCGGGGTGAATGTCCAGGTGTAGTATTTTCAAACCTTGTTTCATACATTCTCCCTAAATGATTTCATCTGTTAACAGCTGCTTCATCTAATACCACCATGTGGATGACAACAAATAATTATCTCTAGTCCTATTCTCTTCTGAGTTTCAGGTCTATAGTTTTCTATACACTTATGAGACTAATTTCCTATATGTCCAACAGGCTCTGCAGTCCTAACAATCTCAAAACCAAAGCATTATCTCTACCCCTCTGAATATCTTCCTCCTTCTCCCTTTTTACTATTTTTAGACTGGTAATCCCAGGGGCACCTGGGTGGCCTAGTCAGTTAAGCGTCTGGCTTTGGCTTAGGTCATGATCTCACTGTTCGTGGGTTCAAGCCCTGTGTTGGGCTCTATGCTGACAGCCCAGAGCCTGGAGCCTGCTTCGGATTCTCTGTCTCCCTCTCTCTCTGCCCCTCCTCCACTTGTGCTCTGTCCCTCTCTCAAAAATAAATAAACATTAAAAAAAAATTTTTTTAGAATGGTGATCCCACTTTCTACCCAACTTTTCAAGCAAGAAACATTAAAATTGTCTCTTACTGCTCTCTTACACAAACTAAATGAACAGAACTGAGTGGTTCAAGTGCTGTGAATTGTATGTCCCAATTATTTCTGGAAGCCATCCTCTCTTCTCTATTTTAACAGGCTCTCATTATTTATAGCCTGGTCTTGCCTTACTTATCCTCCTAAATAGCCTCCAATTAGTCTTCTCACCTCTCCTTTCTTTCTTTTTTACCTTTGTGCTCCTGCTACCATGCACCTGTTGAAAACACAAGTCTGATGATTTCATTCCCCTTGCTTAAAAATCTTTGATCATTGCCTATAGTATAAAGTCTAAATTTAGCACTACATATAAAACCCCTTATCTGAGAAAAGTCATGTACTATACAGGTAGAAACTTTTGAGTCTTGATACAATATTAAACATACTATTGTAAATTCTTAGATCTGCAATTCTATCAAAAGCCTAATGTTGAGAGGGATTTGGATAAAAGTGTTGCCTCATATAACTGCCTATACATTATATTCTTATGTTTAAAAAAGTATGATCTTTAGATTAAGCCCCTTTCCCAAAAACACCTTGACCAATTATGAGAATACAGGTTACATCTTTGGCTCAATGAAAACATTTAACACAGCTGAGCAGGAGGAATGGGTACAGTCTGACAAGGTTAGAGCTCAGGACTTTGTATTAGTAGTGCAAAAATCAAGACAATGAGACAATGTTTTGAATGATGATTGCAAATCATTAAATCTCTAAGGCAACAGAAAAAGAAAAGAAACATCTTTGGAAGACCAAGTAATAAGTAAAAACATGGCCCATGCATCCATCCTTTAACCTAGCTTTAGGAAAAAGAAAAAAATGATCCCAAATCATACTGATTATAAGGCAGTGACACAGTCCTTCTTAGCATGCAA